ATCAAGAGTGGACAGGGGAAAGCATGTCAGAAACAAAAGCAGCTTTATCTTCAAAATGAATAATTCCATCTAGCAATTTACTTGTATTTAGCATCCAAAAAGGACTGGCAAGAAGTACTCAAACCTTCTCAAAATATACTTAATAAAGATAAGTGCATACTTCCAGCTTCCAAAACCATTTCCAAGTCACAATGTGATGACCACAGATGGCTCCACCTGTTCATTCAGCAGGAAGGTGGTTTCAGTGTTTCTGGCTCAGACTGCCTGGCTACGAATCCCCAATATTCCATTTGTAGATGAGGAGCCCCAGATACACTCTCCTTAATAGTCCCTGGGCCACAGGAGAGTGATAGTCCCTACTTTATAAGATCATTGTGAGAAATTGATGAGGTAATGAATACGAAGCCCTAGGAAAGGGACTTGGTTCATGGAATGGCTGAACACCATTACCGTTGCTATAGTTCATTCATTTTCTTACCATAGCACCCAGAGTGCCTACCATGAGCCAACACTGTCCTTGGTGCGAAGGACACAGCCTCAAACCTGGCAGTCAGGAGCTGAGAAGCCCAGAGCCCACAGAGAAAACCACATGAGAATGTGAGCAGGGACAGAGGCGTACTAGGCAGTGACAGCTACTATGAAGGAAGAGAAAATTGGGTAAAATGACAAAAAGTCACGGGGTGGAGGTGGGGTGTGATTATTTCAGAGGGAATGGTTAGAAAGGTGAAATGAAGTCAAGAAGCTGCACGGCTCTTTTATTTATTTATTTATTTTGAGTCGGAGTCTCACTCAGTCACCCAGGCTAGAGTGCAGTGGCACACAGTCACCCCAGCATCAACCTGCTGGGCTCTGGCGATCCTTCCGCCTCAGCCTTCCAAGTAGCTGGAACTACAGGCATGCGCTACCATGCCTGGCTAACTTTTTAATATATTATAGGGACGAGGTCTCACCAAGTTGCCCAGGCTGGTTTTGAACCCCTGGGCTCAGGTAATCCTCTCACCTCAGCTTCCCAAAGTGCTGGGATTACAGGCTTGAGCCACCATGCACAGCCTGCACAGCTCTTTAATCAGACGCAAGTATCTAAGTGACACTGATTACGTGGTGGCCAGAAGGGATCTGAGGGAGGCCTTATACTCAGCCTTCCACTGCCTTGTTTTTAATATTTTTCTTAACAAATGCATTAAGTACCACATTTCCTCAGGGAGACCCTACCACGGAGCATCACAGTTACAGTACAACATCATCTCCATTTCAGACATGAAGGTTTGGTCCAGAGAAATGAGTGATCTTCCGGTGATCCTACTAGGATCCTACTAGGAGTAGGTGAGGACAAGAAAAGGCTCTGCTCTTCCCAGGACAGTTTTTGTCTGCTTCTGAGGTAACCTGGCTCTAGAGCTGACTGATTAGTGTTCAGTGCAGCACTCTGGGTCACAAGGCTTTACAACCTCCTTCCTTAGCCTCTACTGTTTCCACAAACAGGAGCCGAAGACAATTGGGGCGGGGGGACTGGGCAACGGCGTGCTCTGTCTAACCCCTGCTTATTGGAGAGCTGAAACAGACAGGGAAGGGGCAACCTAAATGAGGACTCAGACTGCTCCAGACAGGCAGAAGCCATCATGACCTCGAGAACAGAAGCCCCTGACACCATACCCTCTGATGGGGCACACCTCTGGCTTGCAGGGCATATGCACTCTGGCCATGGCAGCAGCAGAAGTGGTATCGACCATGGGTGGACTGGGACGCATTCTTGGGTGTTCCCTGATGGCCAACAGCTTTGTTCGGGAAATGTCTCCTGGAGCTGCTCTCAGTACCAATTTACATGCCCAAAAGGAAAGCAAACAAATCTTAAAAATCAGTGGTCATCTAGTTTGCCCCCAAATAACAACCTTTACCTACACTGAATCCACCAGACTTAAATTTCCAAAAATCACATGCCCTGTCTAATAATAAAATTTTGACACCACTGAAGATACTTAAAAGAAGATGCATGACAGCACTAAATGCTGGCAAGGACACAGAGGCACGGGGTCTTCACACTCTCCCATCAGGAATCATCACATGTGCAGCTGCTCTGGAAAAGAGTGGTTCCTTACAAAACTAGACCCGTGCTCATGGTATGACCCAGCAATTGTACCCTGGGGCATTCACCCAACGGAAGTAAAACCTTATGTTCATGCAAAAACTGGTACTTTAATGTTCACTGCCGTTTACTTATGATTGCCAAAAACTGAGGAAAACCCAGATGTCCTTCAAAAGGTATATGGTTAAACAAGCTGCGGAACATGCATACCATGGAATACCAGCAACGAAAAGGAATGAGCTGTTGACTGACACACACAACTTGGGAACCACACTTAAAAATTAAGCAACATTGCAACCTCCAGGGAATTAAGCTGAATGAAAAAAGTCAACTGTCAAAGGTTACACTGTGTGTGATTCCATGTATATAATTCTAGAAATGACAAAATTATACAGGTAGGACACAGATTAGGGGCCGTGGGGGGCTGAAGACCAGCAGGGGGAGGGAAATGGCTATGGTTACAAAAAGGTAGCATGAGAGACCCTGGGCATGGAGTCATTCTGTACCTTGGCTACAGTGGTGGCTACCTGTGTGGCTTAGCTACAGTATGTGGCTAAATATACACATGCAATAAAATGGCTAGAACTAAATGTTCACACATGAGGGAATGTAAAACTGGTGACATAGCCATGAAGTCAGTGGACTGCATCAATGCTAGCTCCTGGCTGTGACGCTGTACTATCATTACACAATGTTTCTATCGGGGGAAGTGGGCTTATGGGTATACAGGATTTGTGTCATTCCCACAAGGGCATGTGAGTCTACGACCTCAAGGCAAAAAGCTTGAGAAAAAAGAATATGCAATCATGTATTGGACAGCAAAATATGATTCAGGAAGTACTTTAAACAATGGAGGCAAAATCAGAATAAAAGGCAGTCCAAGGTAGATTTGAGGAGGATAGCTTAACATGCCTGTGTTTAAACATCAACAACTTTTATACATGCGTGTACACCTGGATCTAATATTCGGTTCCCTATAACACACATGTGTAGTCTGCCTTTCTGGACAGTGTATGTGACAGTGTATCTTTCACCAGGTCAGTGGCTATTTCTTCTTAGAGAGGTGCTCTGAGTATTAAAATCACACCCAGTCTTGCAGAGAGAGGAAAGGTAGACGAGTTGTCTCAAAGTCCCCAGGAATGACTGCTTCAATTCTGTCACTCACCTGACAGAAGCTGAGAGGTGGTTTAAAAGCTCCTCATCCCCAGGCAGGATGAGCTCACCATCTCTTGCCAATGGGACTGCCACCTTCTGCCAATGCCAACCTCCCTAACATGACTGCTGACCTGCACTGAGTCTCACTGATGTGTTCCCCAGTGCCAGCGTGTCTCCTGGAACACGTGGACATGCATACACACACATACACACGTGTGCACACATACATACACATAAATATACACTTGCACAAATATGTACACAAGTGCGCACACAAAAATGTGCGTGTGTGCACGTTACCACACACATGTACACAGACACACATGTACATGTGCACAAATGTTTGCCTGCTGAGGAATGTGGCCATTGTTTGAAATGTGGAACTTGAAATGGTGCTACGTGATTTGCACAGAGATTCTGCATTCGGGCAGGTGAGTGACAGAATCAAAGCAGGCATTCCTGGAGACTTTGGGACTCATCTGCCTGTCCTCTGCAAAACTGGGTGTGATTTTAATACTCAGAGCATCTCTGTAAGAAGAAATAGCCACTCACCTGGTGAAAGCACAACAATTATCAAAAGAGGCCCATCCCAAACTGGTATGCACAGGGCATTCCCAAGGCACAGACTGTGCCTGACTCGCAGCACTGCTTCCTTCCTACCTGACCATGGAAACCTGAATCGGTCCTGAGCCCGTATCAAATGTCACCTGCTGACTGACTCCCTCTTCGATTCCTCTAATACAAATTAATTGCTGCTTCCTCTGGAGCCACAGCACACGGTTCATAATGATTTTGGTGTATGTCACAGCCTGTGACGCCCACAGTTAGTTGTTTACACTCTGGGCCTCCCCCTGGGAGGCCAAGTCTTCTGACTTGTCACATGGTGTCCCTGAAGCCTGGCAGGGTGCCTGCCACAGGTGCTTAATAAGTATCTGTTGGATTAAACTTATTTAATTGGTAGAGTTGACAAGACAGGACTCACTGTACAGAGAATAAATCTCTCTTGTAGACACACACATGCATGTGCGCACGTGTTATTACATTAAGTAAAACAATTATTGTTATTGTAAACACCATAACAGCATTACGCCCCTGCAATCCCTTCTAGAAGACACGGCTTCTTAATTTTACTAAGGCCTCAGGGAACTTCAGAGAACAGCTGTGACTGCTGTGGAAGGGGCCCCTGGGAGTGGCTGGTATGTGAACACAGCAAACCCCCCAACCACACAAGGTGATGACTGGTCAGCGAGCCCCCATAAGTGGCGGTCACATCATTCACTCTATCCCTTGACACGCTACATGACTGACGGGAGAGGGCTCAGGGATGCAGCACCATACGGACACTGTGCATTCATATTTAGTCCACAGGAGGAAGATATAAGCCCTTCAACCTCAAGTGACAAATAATTTGTGCACAAATGCTAAATGAAAGTGTATTTACAAAGGTGAAAAGCATTATAAAACTCAAGTGCTGTGCAGCGCCTGTTTTATCATTCCATCAGGTAACCCTGGGCAATACTTATTTTAGACGAAGAGGAGAAAGAACTGGACGTGGGCTCTCTTACGGCATGTGTGGTAGGGTTTCCACAAACGTGGCTAATTTAGAAAATATTGGACTAAAATAACCAATTTATAGCAGCTTTTTAAAAGAAAGGTGTATTTTTAAAGTGTGTACAGTAGTTTCTGCAGTATGAATCTGTCCAAATCCCAGCACCTGTCCAACCTTCAGGCCTGTTCTGGGCATATAAAATATGCAAAATCCTACCAGGCCATGTTGCCATGGGCTGTGTTGTCAAGGTGACAGAGCAGCTCCAGGGTCTGTGCAGTGCTTGATGAATCATCAGGGGACTCGTGGCTGCCTGATTCCAATTCCTTCGGCATCCTCCACACGGCTGAACATGTCAGGACTTTACTGTCTGAAGCTGAGCAACAGAGGATAATGTCAACAGAGCACGGTGTGCAGTCCACATTCTGCAGACAGTGCACCAACATTTACACATATCCATAAGCAGGGCACATCTGCTCTTTAAAATATTTAAAATTGCAGGCAGCAAAGACAGAGAGAAAGGCACAGAACCGAGTCAGCACACAGAACAAGCACGGCTCGTAATTAGCATCCAGTTAACCCACTTTCTCCTTGTTTTAAAAACCATCATTCTGTTTCAGAAGAAAATTTAATTTCCTCAAAATCGATTTCCTTCCGTTCCTCTTCAATAGTTTTTCAAAAAAGAGAGCAAAATGGGGGACTAAAGATATAATCACCATGCACGCTGCTCGTGTCTAAGATTGGCATTAAATGGATTTTCTCCTCACAGCTTTAAGAGACCATCTTCAAAGGGTATTAAGTACACTGAGAAATATTCTGCTTGGAAATACTGTCATTAGTGTTATTCTACCTTAGTTTACCTAACGTGATGAGTGTTTGGGACCAGAAAGCAAAACCACTCAGAGGTGACAGAGGCTGAAGTCCACAACATTATATTTGCTGTGCCCTAGTAGCAGCAGGGAGTGGCCCAGTGCTTCATGGTGTCACCAACCACAGGAACACAATCTCTCCTAGAAACAACAGGCCCACCGTCACACACTCCCACTGGTGGCTGCTTAGTTTCCCTCTCTCTCAGTCTTAACACTCTAAAGGGCTGCAATAACCTGTGCATTCTTAGAGTACCTAAAAAAGCCACTTGGAAGATAAAGAGACAACTTGCATAAGAAAGCCTGGGGTCACTTGTTTTCAGGGAAAGTGTCAGGCTCTCGGTCTCTGCCTCTCTAGAAAATTTCTCAATATGACAAATGGTTTAAAAATCAGATTTAACATTAGATTCCTAAATATAAATCCTTCCAAAATCGGCTTTCCATTTAGTTTTAAATTGCCATATGTGCTAAACACCTTCCTTTTTTGGCCTTCAGTAAACAACAAAACAATGAACAGGTTTCAACATTAAATCATCAATTGATATCAAATGAAAAATACAAAAATATTACACATTATGTAAGAGCAAGAAAAAACACCCACGAGTAGTATGAATTTTTTTAAAAACCAAGTATGGCATTATAAAAATGAGAATGACTTTAGATTACATTCAGAAATGTATCACTTATTAGCTATGATAGTCTTTCAATCTGATTATCAACTAATCAACCAAGAAATACAGCAGTGAACATAATGCAAAATATGTAGCTTTGTGAATATTATTATTACATTTACCCATGATCATATAATAATAAGTAAAAGACTTAGAATTTCAACTGGAGTTTTCTGATTCCAAATTCAGTGCTCATTTTATATACCTTATTGAGTCTAAGAAAATATGCAATTGTGGCTTAAAGGAAAAAATTATGTGTGCGTGTGTGTGTGTGTGTATACAATGTTAACATTTCCAGCTTGAACTATGAAATGGAGTGCACAATGGTTTTTGTCTACACAATTTTTATTCGTTTTTTTCTGAAATGTTCACTTACACAGTCTTTCTGTAGAGCCTGTGAGACTGGCAGTGGCACTCCTGGAAAGATGAAAATAACCAAAGAAAAAGTCGGCAACTTTTAGATGGAAGGAAGAAATGAATGCCTGAAGAAACATTAGTCCAAGAGAGGCACAGATTATATTAATCTTTCTAAGTGACAGAAAAAGAAATGTCTAATCCAAAAAGCGATAGAACTAATAGCAGGAGAACTACTTGTGGCTGCATTGCAAGACGAATGAGGTACACAAGACAGCGAAGGTCAGGAATAGTAAAAACAGCCATTATATGGAAGAAGCGACGAGTGCAGATTCCCTGAAGAAATTCCTTCTTTGGGGAATTCCATTTATGTGTAAAGAAAGCGACTCTTTTTCTATAACTGCCAGCTTGCCAAATGCCTTAACTACTTCCTCGTTACCCTCAATAAACCAAAGCGATGCCCATAAATAAGATTTGCTATTCTTCAGTAATTTACCTCCCCTCTAAGTCTATACCAGACATGAAGCTTAAATGACTAGTTAGGCAACTAAGTTTCCACATACCCTGTTCATGTAGCACTGTTACCTATCTACCCCAGAGCCCATCAACTTGATAGGGTAGAGAAAGCAATGAAGGAACTTCCAAGAAAAAACATTAACAGAATAGACACTCCAACTTTCCTTCTGTCCTAAAACCATCATGGTATATGTTATTATAGCAAAGAGGGTGACAGAAGTGAGAACCTGACGAGAGAGAGAGAGAGAGAGAGAGAGAGAGAGAGAGAGAGAGAGATATCGACAAAAAAAGGAAAGAAGGAAGAAGAAAGAAAGAAAAGTCTTTTAAAAGCATAAAAATAAAAGCATAAATCCACCAGGATGAGAAGAGCAATTGAATGTTAAAAACTGGAAAGCAGGCCAGGCTCAGTGGCTCAGCCTGTAATCCCAGCACTTTGGGAGGCCAAGGTGAGTAGACTGCCTGAGCCCGCAGGTTCATGACCCACCCGGGCAACTAGATGAGGCCTCATCCCAACAATAAATCAAAAAATTAGCCAGGCGTGGTAGACGCGCCTGTAGTTCCAGCTACTTGGAAGGCTGAGGCAGAAGGATGGCTGGAGCCCAGCAGGTCGAGGCTGCGGTAGCCGGGAGCATGCCGCTGCATTCCAGTCTGGACGACAGAGTGAAACTCTAACTCAAAAACAAAACAAAAACAAAAACAACAAAAAAAACTAAAACTGGAAAGCAAATGGCCCAGTACCAAATGACGTAGCATAGCCCCCAAAATGGAATCCTGAGGAAGCAGAGGGAAAAGATTAGAAGCGACCTTGTTCATACTGCCCACAGGAACTGGAAGCATCAGGCTACCTCCAGAAGGGGAAATAAATGAGGGAGGGATCAGCTTAAAAAAAAAAAATTGGTTGAATCTCTGTCCCAAAAGCATTTGTGAGAGATGCATAAACTATCAATGTCAGGAATAAAAAGTTGAATATCACCACAAAGCATATGAACATTAAAAATATTGCATGGAGAAGTATGAACAGTTTTCTATTAAAAACATTGAAAATTCAGATGAAATGGTATATTCTTAGAAAAGTTGAAACTTAACAGAATGAATATCAGGAAAAAAGACTGAATAGTCCAGTAACTATTAAATAAACTGACCCTAACATAAACTTTCTACAAAGAAACCACTAGACTCAGATGATTTCCCCATTCTTCCAAGTATGCATTTAAAGAAACAACACAAAGAATATGCAAATTCTCCAAGCAAGCAAGCAAGAAAGAAAAAAGAGATTTATGCCAATCATATGAGTTGTTTACCATTTGAAAAATCAGACAATATAATCACATTAACAAACTCAAAAATATACATATAACTACCATAAAAAGATATAGAAAAATGTGATACAATTTAATGCCCACTTCTTATAATACTCTTAGCAGAACAGAAAAAAGAAGGAAATTTATTCAGATAAAGAGATCTACAGGCTGAGCATGGTGGCTCATGCCTATAATCCCAGCACTTTGGGAGGATGAGGTGGGAGGATTTCTTGAGGCCAGGAGGACAAGGCCAGCCTAGGTAACATAGCAAGACCTTGTCTCTACTAAAAAAAATTTTTAAAAACTAGCTGGACATGGTGGCATGCTGTACTACTCAGTTACTCAGGAGGTGGAGGTGGGAGGATCACATGAGCTTAGGAGTTTGAGGCTGTGGTGAGCCGTGATTGCACCACTGCACTCCAGCCTGGGCGACAAAGCTAAACCCCGCCTCAAAAACAAAACAAATATCTGCACTGCACCTAGACAAACAGGACCTAGAAGGGGCCGGGAACACAGAGCCCCAACTGCTGCACTATTCACAATAGCAAAAACACGGAACCACACCTACTGTCCATCAAAAGTGGACTAGGTAAAGAAAAAGATGGAGTATTACACACCAATAAAGACAAAAAAGATCATGGACTTTGCAGCACATTGGATGGAGTTGGAGACCATCATATCTAGTGATCTATCACAGAAAAAAATGTGACAACACAAAGGGTACCTAGTCCACTACCAGGGGGAGGGAAGGCCAGTTAGAAGCCCAAACTTCACCTGCACGCAGCCTATTCATAGAGTTAATCCTCACTTGTACCCCCATATTCCTGTAGTAAAATAAAAAAAAATTTGAGGGCATGATTCCTTACCCAATATCAGATCTGAGTCAGTTTCAGACCTGGAACCACTGACCGTAAAGATGGTCAGATCCCCAGGAGTCAGGAACCCACAACCCTAATGTAAGTACCTACTATAATAATTACCTCAGTCTGTACTCAAAGGGACCTACCTGCCATCTCCCTGATTGCTGTTACCTGGGCAAAACTACCCAGACACTTCAAGGTCTGCTGAACATGAAGTCTGTGCGTACACATATACAGCAACCCAACATGTCATCATGTCCCCCAGGCGGAGTGGGGGCATTAGGATACCAAGTAATAAATAGTCCTGGACAAAATCTGGCTTAGAGTAAATCCTTTGGGACTGTGGACCCACTCAGTTGTCGATTCCATGGTTTGTGAATATAAAATGGTATCAACATACTGGGCAGTTTGTGAAATATCCATATTGAGTCCATTGCCTGTGGAGCTGGCAGAAAGGTCAAATGGAAGCCTCTGAAACTACCCTCCCTCCCTATCTCATCAAAGGGGCCTGACGTGAGAATCAAAAAAAAGAAGGGGCATGGCTTTGTTTCATTCAACATCTGGTTTCTACAAAAAGCCAGTGGGACCTGGAGAATAACCACAGATAACTCTAAGCTCAGCAAAGCAGGAGCCCTACTCCAGCCACAGTGCCAGACATGGAGTCCTGTTATGCAGATTTACAGGGTCCCAAGTACATGGCATGTGGACACTGATTTCCAGAGGCAATCTGTCCTATTCCAGGGAAAAGAGATCCGAAACCATCTGCACTCACAAGGAGTGAGAAACAGAGTGCAATCTTGCTATAGAG